GCCTGAGCTGAGTGAGAGGGGGGACAGATGGGGCCCGTACCAGATTCGTGTATGCCTAAAGAGGAAAGGAGAGCAAAGGACAGCAATGAGCCCGGCTCTCAGGGAGAGGCAGACGCAGACAATAGCCAGTCCCTCCCTGGCTGGGAAAGGAACCGGAGGGGTTTGGGAATGGCCTGTGGTCGCAGACAACTGTTCTTTTTCTGGTATACCGAAACAATTCAGAACCAGGTTTGTTGGGATTACCATATTTTTCAGAGTACAAGACGTGCCCCCCCCCAAAAAAAGAGGGTGAAAATCTGGGTGCATCTTATACAGTGAATACAGCATTTTTGGCCTACCAAAACTCTGCCCCCTTTACAAAAATGGACGTGCAGAGGATTTGGGAGGCTTCCAGAGTGGTCCTGGGGGTTGGGAAGGGCAAAAATGAGCGGAAAACCTGCCATTTTTGCTTGTTTTTGCCCCCCCACCCAGCCCCCAGGAACACTCTTAAGAACCTCCCAAATCCTCTGCATGTCCTTTTTTGTTTTTGCAAAAAAGACCCATTTTTGTGAAAAACGGGCCATTTTTTGCTCAAAACGGGGTGCGTAGAGGGTTTGAGAGGCCGGCAGAGTGCAAAAACTTTTTCCCCTTAAATTTACCTCTTCAAAATCATGGTGCGTCTTATACTCTGAAAAATACAGTAATTAAGTTTGGTTTTTGTTTATCCACATGAATAAAAGACTGTTCCTGCCCGGTTTTGAAAAGGGGTTTTACTCACAAGTTAAGCAGCTTATCATCACTTGCGAAGGTTGCTGGGTCAGAACTGGGTGGCTGAAAGGCTGCTCTGTCCGTGAGAAGGGAAGGAGAGGAGGAGATGGGCATCTTGTATAAATGGCTGCATTCATCACACTGATGAGTTTCCAGGGCTGTGGTTAAAGCAAGGTTCCAAAGCAGGAACTCCATCACCACACACATACACATGTCCACAATTCCCCTATTACTGAGCATTCACAATCCTCCCACTGGATTCATAGGCTGCTCAGCAATGCCTCTCCCGAACCCGAGATGCAGAGGCTGGCAGCCCAAATGCTGCCTAGTTCTTTGGAAGACCCTGAAGCCAACATCCAGACTAGCCAGCATTTGTAGCTAATCAAGTCTTTATTATATACAAACACAGTGGCCTAAAAAAACAACAACTCTGGGACAGGAGTTCCTTGCGGACAGGTTGTGTGCTGAAGCAGTAGCTTCCCAATTGGAGAAGGGCAGAATAGGGGGGGGCGGGGGAAGCGGATGCTCCCACGAGGGGGGGGGCTTCGGGCCAGGAACAATTTCCCCAGCGAAGACGGCCAAGGTATCTTGCAAAGCCAGGAGGGTTTCCTGTGTCTCAACCGTTGGGCGTCCTGATGAGTCCAAGGCTTTTAGGCACTAAGCTGGCTGAGACGGGGCAGGGGTCAAGGCCGAGCTAAGCCCCTCCGTGGTCGCATGGTGAGCGTAAGGCACTCTGAAGAGGAGGAGCAGCAGCAGCAGCAGCAGTGACTTCCTCGGCTTCAGGCCATGTGGAAGTAGCTGCCCAGGGAAGCTTTTCGGTTTTTCGCAAATGATCACGATGGACTTATTAATCACAATGATCTTTCCCCTCCATCGATTCGGGAGGCAAATTCTAGAAAGAAACCCAGGATCCAGGGTGGAGGGGGGCATTCAGCGCCAAAGTAGAGGGGCGTTCCTAAAGTGCATCTGAGAATGGCAAAGGAGGAAGGGGCTGCAAGGAAAAGAGGGGGGGCAGAGGGACTTGTGCTTCTTGGCAGGAGTCCGTCCTCCCCCACCCAAAAAAGGCAGGGGCAGCTAGGCCAGAAGGCAAAGAAGCGGGAGAATTGCACGGAAGAGGTTTTGCAAAGAGAACAGTGAGCCTGGTACAAACGTACACGGAGAAGCTTGGCAGGCAATGCAAAAAGTGAGGAGGGGGTGGGGGGGAAGGTCTTCACTCTAACCTTTGCAGGAAGGTGATGGAAGGCGGTGAAGGAAAAGATCTCTTTGGCACAAGGACAAAGGTGGAAGAGCTTTGATAGGCAAAAACAGACCCCTCAACAGGGACAGGTGATGGGAACTACAGCGCAAACCACCCCAAGTGGCACCAACTGGGGAAGGCTGGCTGTCCCCGGAGGCTTCTCGGATCCCCCTGCCTCGCCTTCTCCCAGGTTTTCAACCTGCAGGGGGCGAGTGGCCAGCTCTTCTGCCCCTCTGCCCAAGCAAACCAGGGCGTTGCAGCCTAGCCAGCCTGAGAGGAAGAGGCAGAGAGAGGACGAGGGTCTTGGGGCAGCCCCTGAACTATTCTCAGGCGGCCTTGCTGGGCTTCGGTTAGCGCTGCTTCCAAACTGCCCTTGTCCTGGGAGGCTGAAGATGCCACCCCAGGGAAGACTCTCAGGATGAGATAAAAATCCCTGCGCCTGGAAAGGGAATTTTTCGCAAACATCTGTTCCTTACTGCTCATCCCAGGATGGGAAACTGACGGGTTCAGAGGTGCAGGTACGACACACAGACATTGACTGGCGGCGGTGGGAGAACACAGGTAGAACAAAGGAAAGGCAAGGAGAAGAGCCCATCAAAAGGTCTCCGGGAGCCAATTAAGGGACTTTGGAACAGAATCACTTTCCCCAATTACTCCTTCCCAGCCTTCATCCAGAGGGAGGCTAAAAGAGGAGGATCAGAGCGAACGAGAGGGCTGGGAGGGAAGAAGAGCTATAAAGTGAAGCATGATGTTTGTTCTCTTGGGGAGAGAAGAGGAGGCAAGGCTGAGTCTCCAAAAGAGCCAGTCTTCCTGGCCAAGAATTCCCTCCCTGGGGGTGGTCGGGAGGGGAGAAAGAGAGGCAAAGCGTTAAGCCTGCCAGAAGCGCCACAAGAGGACTTATCTTCACTTCCCACCAAGCAAAAATGCTGTGGCGTTTTGGTTTGGGGGCAGAACCTGGCAGCTCTCGTCATCCGGCGGGGGCCTTTGGAGCTCCAAAACCGACAGGGAAGGAAATCTCCAGGTAGGTGGCTGATTGCCCGACCTCATGGCCAACGAGATGATCCCCAGAGTCGGAGCAGCAGTGCTAGCATCGTTTTTGGCCAAATGCAGCGTTTAGATCAGGGATGGGGGGTGGGGATGAGGGGGACAATGGTTCGATCCCCCAGGCAAGCTGCATGTCGGATCAGCCTTAAAAATTACAGCGCAAGCTGCTTACCCCAAAGTCTCGGCCCTCTCTGTCCCCAATCGTTTCCGTGAGAGAGACACTCCCCGCCCTCCCCACCCTCTATTGCACAAGCCGCAGATATGCCAGGAAATGTCCTGTTCCAGCCCGGCTGCCTTGTAGAGGCTCCTCATCTCCCATGTCTGTGCTGAGAATCCGGGAGCTGAAGTCCACGTCTCTGGAGGTCACCCAGGAGGGAGTTGGCCATGACAGGACGACGACCTGAGAGGCAGCCGTACCCAAAGTAGCTCTCATGAGATAAGATCCCAAAGGGGGAGCAGAGGAGATGAGTAACATCAGGCGGTTGTATTCCTATCCGAGGGACTTCCGTGGCCCCATAGATCGATGCAGATGCATGCCAAAACTACCAAGTGGCTCCTGCTAACAGAATGCAGCATCTCCCACTCTGGAGATAAAGGTGAGATCATCCTCTTGTCATTTCTACTGACCCCTCTTGAAGGGAAGCCGGTAGAGATAGGACCAGAATGTCTTCATGTGAGCAAATCTCTGAATGATGCGAGTAGGTGCCTTAAACGAGCAACAGGTCTCGCTCTGCAGGCCACTCCAGATCCCAAGAGGTCCTGCCAAATTCCCAAGGCCTCAAACTCTCCCTGACAGCTGAGGGACCAGGGAAGACTCGGCTCGCTCTAGAAACAGAGCATTGCACCTCCCTGTCATAAATACCCCTTTAAGATTGGGAGTGGCAGGATCACTTTGGGAAAAGGAGGAAGGGAAAGGGTTAAAATATACAAAATGTCTTAAGGAGTCCAAAGAGCAATGTGGGGGAAAAGTCTGGCACTTGGTGGGGATTATTTTCCCTGGAAGCCACTGAATTCCATCTCGTCCTTGCGCCGGCGGGTGGTGAAGAGGGAGCTGAAGGGGTAGAGCTTGGCCTTGGCTTGGAAGTGCTGCCCCGCAATGTCGATCTCGTATTCGCCCCGGTTGACAAAGTCAGGCGTGACGAGCTGCTCCTTGCCGGTCTCGGGGTCCAGATTTTGAACGAAGCCCAAGCAGACATGCCGTTCCAGCGTGTAACTGTAAGCGCTGCTGGTGGTCTTGCCCACGTAGCAGCCATTGCGGTAGATGGGATCCCCCCACCAGGGCCACAAGTCCTGGTCAGTGTTATGGTCTTCCAGGATGAACATGGTGAAGCGCTTGTAGACTCCTTCCTGCTTCTGAGCCATCAGCGCGTCCCTCCCGATGAAATCTATGCCCTGCCGAGAGAGAGACAGAGAGGGAGAAAGAAGCACATCAGGAGACGGGGTTCAATCCACTTCAGCTCTTTCTTCTACTTACTGCTGGGAAAGGTCAAGCAACCCACTGGCAAGCGTTTTAACAAACTGCATTGTTTGGTTTGGTAGCTGCAGTGTGTCAGATAGAAAGTCCCTATGGAGAGTGGTGAGGATAGCGGAGAAGATTATATGAAGCTTGCTTCCTGTTATTCAGGATGCTGCTATGTGCCCCCCCCCCTCCTTACTTTGTCCAGCTTCACCCGGAATTCTCTCCCGCATTCCATAGGGGTGGTGAAAGCGTCCAGGTCTTGTCCCCAGAAGGCAAAAAACTTCTCAATGCGCAAGCTGCGGAGGGCGTAATAACCAGAGTTCCGGATCCCATACTTCTGCCCCACGCTCATCACCTCGTTGTACACATGGAGGGCATACTGCAGAGGGGGGAGAGGGAGGAGAGGGAGGAGAGGGGCATTTAAATAACCAGCCTGGAAACCAAAGGCTGTTAGCGTTCCACGGTCACTTGTCTCTTCAAGACGCAAGTCTTGGACAATGACCTCCAATGATACGGCAGACGAGCTGAGCATAGATCAGTTTTGGCCAATATGGCCTCTAAGGGCCACTTCCCTGGCTTCATTTAGGAACCTGAAAAGATGACACAGGCACTGTCTAGGCACTGGTAGTCCTTGGGTTACAACAGTTCATTTAGTGACTGTTGACAGTTACAACGGCACTGAAAAAAAGTGGCTTAGGACTGCTTCTCACACTTATGACCGCTGCAGCATCCCCATGGTCACATGATCAACATTCGGCCACTTGGCAACTGGTGTGTATTTATGACTGTTGCTGTGTCCCGGGAGTTACGTGATCCCCTTTTGCGACCACCTGATAAGCAAAATCAATGGGAAAGCTGGACTCACTTAACAACCGCGTTCCTAGCTTATCAACCGTAGCGATTCACTTAGCAAGGGGGGCAAGAAAAGTCGTAAAATGGACCACACTCACGTAACGAAATTTTCACTGAGCAGCATAAATGTTGGGCTCCACTGTGGTCCTAACTCCAGGACTCCCTGTACTTTTTAGCAAAAGTTCAGAAATTGTGGATGACATCATGCCCTCTGGGGACTGGGCCCCTTTAGGTACAAGTCCCATCCCCCCGTCTCCCTCAACAGAGTGAAGATGGACCTTCAAAGCAGAAGCCCCACTCACCTCGATGGGGATGTAAAGCATGAAGCCGGGCTCCCCCGTGTGCGTCATACTCATGACACGGATGCCATTGGCGTAGCCGACACTCATCTCCTGCAGAAAGAGGGACACAGGCCGTTTATACATCCAGAACAAAATTCCAGAGACAAAGACAAAATATTTTTTTTCTCATTCAAGGTTTTTTATTTTTCAATACAAATTATACATATTATAGGAACAAAGAGTTTTCCAGGTCTTTTCTTTTACCTCCCCTCAGTTACAAAGTCCTTTTTACATCATAGTTTCATTTTCACTTTCTGCCAAATTATTCTCTTCCATTATTTTCCATCTTGATGGTTTTTTTTTTTCTTAATACATTAACAATATCTTCCATTGCCCCTTCAAAGTTACACCACATTTTCATTTCTTATTTTCTCTATTGGTATATTTTGCTATAAACAGCATACATCCTCTAATTCAATTTAAGCATAGAGAGCATTTCTTTCCATTTTTTTCTACAACTAAAAATATACTATCATTTCTTTATTTCTTAATTAGATACATCACAATAACAATCTTACTACTATCCTCTTTAGTCTTCTAATATAGCTCTTTTCCCCTTCTTCCTCTTTTAACCATTTTCTCTTGGGCTCCCAAAAATCCCAGTTTTAATTCTTTTCCTTCATCTCCCCGCTTTCCCCTAACTTCTTCTTCTTTCCCCTATTTTTGTAGTTATTATATTTTTTTTCTTCAGCATGTTTCTTTTATTATTCTAGTAACTTTTCCCAGGGTTTTCCTTTCACTTGACCATAGGTAAACCAGCAAGGAACAGGTTTTAACTGGGGGAAAACAAAACTGAAGTTCTACACCAGAAGTATCTTGGCTCAGCGCTCAAGATCAAAATGTGGGTGACTTGCAGAATGGGGGAGGGACACACCTGTTCTCTAGCCTTAGAACATATTCTAGGCCAGTGTTTCTCATCTCTGGCAACCTTAAGACAAGGGGACTTCAACTCCTAGAATTCCCCAGCCAGCTGTGCCACACTCCCCAGAACCCCTCCCATCCCCTGCACTCCTTACCTAAGCCTCCCGCCTCTTCCCACTTAACAACCTACATGGTCCTGAGGTTACAGTCACAACAGAAACTGCCAGGATTGTTGTCACTAAGTGATACCATCATATGGTGCCACACTTTGCGACTGCGTCATTTAGCAAGGGCAATCCCAATCTGAACTGCCATCATACTCAAGGATCACCGCTGTTGAAATGAGCTGTGGTGGCGCAGGGGTTAGAATGTAGCACTGCAGGCTGCTTCGGCCAACTGCCAGCAGTTTGATCCTGACCGGCTCAAGGTTAACTCAGGCTTTCATCCTTACAAGGTGAGTACAATGAGGACCCAGACTGTTAGGGGAAAGAGGCTGTAAACCGCTTAGAGAGGGCTGTAAAACACTGTAAAGTGGTATATAAGTCTATTGCTACTGTCTTTCCTTCCTTCCTTCCTTCCTTCCTTCCTTCCTTCCTTCCTTCCTTCCTTCCCATCCATCCATCCATCCATCCATCCATCCATAGTTTGCAGTGGATAGAAAGCATTATTGCAGTCTGACTCCTGACCAGCTCAAGGTTGATTCCACTTTCCATCCCTCCAAGCTGAGTAAAATGAGGACCCAGATTGTTGGGGGCAATAGGCTGACTCTGTAAATCACTTAAGAGAGCTGTAAAAGCACTTTGAAGTGG